TCCGCTAACCAACTGGGATAAAAGGGCATGTTTCCATAGTGGGTCAGCGCACCCATACCCCCCCTGGACGAGACCTGTAGCCCTTAGGGAGACCACTTTGGGCCTTTCCAGTGTCCACTTCTAACGGGCAAGAGCACTGCAATGCTCTTGCCAACCACCCTGGAGCATTGCAATGCTCTTGCCGGACACCCTAGAGCGCTGCAATGCTCTTGCCAACCACCCTGGAGCGTTGCAGTTCTCTTGCCGACCTCCCTGGAGCATTGCAATGCTCTTGCTGGACACCTGGAGCGTTGCAGTACTCTTGCCGGACACCTTGCAGCATTGCAATGCTCTTGGTGGACACCCCAGAGCGTTGCAATGCTATTGCTAGACACCCTGGCGCATTGCAGTGCTCTTGCCGGACACCCCGGGGCGCTGCAATGCTCTTGCCGACTACCCTGTGCGTTACAATGCTCTTGGCGGACACCCCACAGCATTGCAGCGCACTTGCCGGACATCCCGAAGCCTTGCAATGCTCTTGCCGGCCACTCTAGAGCGTTGCAGTGCACTTGCCGGACACCCTGGAGCGTTGCAGTGCTCTTGCCTGTTAGAAGTGGACACTGGAATGGCCCAAAGTGGTCTCCCTAAGGGCTATAGGTCTCGTCCTGGGGGGGTATGGGTGCGCTGACCCACTATGGAAACATGCCCTTTTATCGCAGTTGGTAAGCGGATTGGGATGCTATCCCTGCATTGCCGGCCGCCGTGAAGCGTTGCAATGCTCTTGCCGGACACCCCAGAGCATAGTAGTGCTCTTGCCGGACACCCTGAAGCATTGCAGCCCACTTGCCGGCCACCACGGAGCGTTGCAATGCTCTTGCCGACCACCAAGGAGCGTTGCAATGCTCTTGCCGGCCACCCAGGAGCGTTGCAATGACCTTGCAGTACACTCCGGAGCGTTGCAGTGCACTTGCCGGACACCCCGTAGCGTTGCAATGCTCTTGCCGGACACCCTCGAGCGTTGTAATGCTCTTGCCGACCACCCTGGAGCGTTGCAATGCTCTTGCCGGCCACCCTAGAGCGTTGCAAATCTCTAGCAGGACACCCTGGAGCGTTGCAGTGCACTTGCCGAAAATCCTGGAGCGTTGCAATGCTCTTGCCAGACACCCTGGAGCGTTGCAATGCTCTTGCCGAACACCCTGGAGCGTTGCAATGCTCTTGCCGGACACCCCGGAGCGTTGCAATGCTCCTGCCGGACACCCTGGAGCATTGCAAGGCTCTTGCCGGACACCGTGGAGCGCTGCAATGCTCTTGCTGACCATCATGGAGCGTTGCAATGCTCTTGCCGACCACCCGGGAGCGTTGCAATGCTATTGCCGGACACCCCGGAGCGTTGCAATGCTCTAGCCAGACACCCTGGAGCATTGCAATGCACTTGCCGGACACCCCGGAGCGTTGCGGTGCTCTTGCCGGCCACCCTGGAGCGTTGCTGTGCACTTGGTGGACACCCCGGAGTGTTGCAATGCTCTTGTCGACCACCGTGGAGCGTTGCAATGCTCTCGCCGGCCACCCCGAAGCGTTGCAACGCTCTTGCAGGACACCCTGGAGCATTGCAATGCTCTTGCAAGACACCCCGGAGCTTTGCGATGCTCCTGCCTGACACCCTGGAGCATTGCAATGCTCTTTCCGGACACCCCAAAGCGTTGCAATGCTCTTGCCGATCACCCAGGAGCGTTGCAATGCTCTTGCCGGACAACTCAGAGCGTTACAATGCTCTTGCCGGCCACCCTGGAGCATTGCAGTAAACTTGCCGGACACGCCGGAGCGTTGCAGTGCTCTTGGCGGCTACCCTGGAGCGTTGCAATGCCCTTGCTGGACACCCTAGAGCATTGTAGTCGTCTTGCTGGAGACCCCGAAGTGTTGCAGCGCACTTGCCGGACACCCGAGAGCGTTGCAATGCTCTTGCTGACCACCGTGGAGCGTTGCAATGCTCTTGCCAGACACCTTGGAGCGTTGCAGCGCACTTGCCGGACACCCCGTAGCGTTGCAATGCTCTTGCCGGACACCCTGGAGGGTTGCAATGCTCTTGCTGGACACATTGGAGCGTTGCAATGCACTTGCTGGACACCCCAGAGCGTTGTAGTGCGCTTGCTAGACACCAAGGAGCATTGCAATGCTCTTCTCGGACACGCTGGAGCGTTGCAATGCTCTTGCCAGACACCTTGGAGCATAGCAATGCTCTTGCCGTACACCCCGGAGTGTTGCAATGCTCCTGACGGACACCCGGGAGCGTTGCAAGGCTCTTGCCGGACCCCCTGGAGCGCTGAAATGCTCTTGCTGACCATCCTGGAGCGTTGCAATGCTCTTGCCGGCCACCCGGGAGCGTTGCAATGCTCTTGCCGGACACCCCGGAGCGTTGGAATGCTCTTGCCAGACACCGTGGAGCATTGCAATTCACTTGCCGGACACCTCGGAGCGTTGCGGTGCTCTTGCCGGCCACCATGGAGCGTTGCTGTGCACTTGGTGGATACCCCGAAGTGTTGCAATGCTTTTGCCGACCACCGTGGAGCGTTGCAATGCTCTTGCCGGCCACCCTGAAGTGATGCAATGGTCTTGCCGGACACCTTGGAGTGTTGCGATGCCCTTGCACAACACACCCCGGAGCGTTGCGATGCTCCAGCCTGACATCCTGGAGCGTTGCAATGCCCTTGCACGACACTCCGAAGCATTGCAATGCTCGTGCTTGACACCCTAGAGCGTTGCAATGCTTTTTCCGGACACCCTGGAGCGTTGCAATGCTCTTGCCGACCACCCAGGAGCGTTGCAATGCTCTTGCCAGACACCCCGGAGCGTTGCATTGCTCTTCCCGGCCACCCTAGAGAGTTGCAGTAAACTTGCTGGACACCCTGGAGCGTTGCAATGCTCTTGCTTGACACGCTAGAGCATTGTAGTCCTCTTGCTGGACACCCTGAAGTGTTGCAGCGCACTTGCCGGACACCGCGGAGCATTGCAATGCTCTTGGTGACCACTGTGGAGCGTTGCAATGCTCTAGCTAGACACCCTAGAGCGATGCAGCGCAGGGGTCTCCAGCTAGAGCATTGCAACGCTCTAGGGTGTCTGGCAAGAGCATTGCAACGCTACAAGGTGTCCGGCAAATGCACTACAACACTGCGGGGTGTCCGGCAAGAGCAATGCAGTGGTCATGGGTGTCCGGCAAGAGCATTACAACGATCCAGGGTGTCCGCCAAGAGCACTGTAACGCTCCGAGGTGTCCGACAAGAGAATTGCAATGCTCCAGGTGTCCGGAAAGAGCATTGCAATGCTCTTGCCGGCCACCCAGGAGCGTTGCAATGATCTTGCAGTACACTCCGGAGCGTTGCAGTGCACTTGCCGGACACCCCGTAGCGTTGCAATGCTCTTGCCGGACACCCTCGAGCGTTGTAATGCTCTTGCCGACCACCCTGGAGCGTTGCAATGCTCTTGCCGGCCACCCTAGAGCGTTGCAAATCTCTAGCAGGACACCCTGGAGCGTTGCAGTGCACTTGCCGAAAATCCTGGAGCGTTGGAATGCTCTTGCCAGACACCCTAGAGCGTTGCAATGCTCTTGCCGGACACCCTGGAGCGTTGCAATGCTCTTGCCGGACACCCCGAAGCGTTGCAATGCCCCTGCCGAACACCCTAGAGCATTGCAAGGCTCTTGCCAGACACCTTGGAGCGTTGCAGCGCACTTGCCGGACACCCCGTAGCGTTGCAATGCTCTTGCCGGACACCCTGGAGGGTTGCAATGCTCTTGCTGGACACATTGGAGTGTTGCAATGCACTTGCCGGACACCCCAGAGCGTTGTAGTGCGCTTGCTAGACACCCTGGAGCATTGCAATGCTCTTCTCGGACACGCTGGAGCGTTGCAATGCTCTTGCCGGACACCTTGGAGCATTTCAATGCTCTTGCCGGACACCCCGGAGTGTTGCAATGCTCCTGACGGACACCCGGGAGCGTTGCAAGGCTCTTGCCGGACCCCCTGGAGCGCTGCAATGCTCTTGCTGACCATCCTGGAGCGTTGCAATGCTCTTGCCGACCACCTGGGAGCGTTGCAATGCTCTTGCCGGACACCCCGGAGCGTTGGAATGCTCTTGCCAGACACCGTGGAGCATTGCAATGCACTTGCCGGACACCTCGGAGCGTTGCGGTGCTCTTGCCGGCCACCATGGAGCGTTGCTGTGCACTTGGTGGATACCCCGAAGTGTTGCAATGCTTTTGCCGACCACCGTGGAGCGTTGCAATGCTCTTGCCGGCCACCCTGAAGTGATGCAATGGTCTTGCCGGACACCTTGGAGTGTTGCGATGCCCTTGCACAACACACCCCGGAGCGTTGCGATGCTCCTGCCTGACATCCTGGAGCGTTGCAATGCCCTTGCACGACACTCCGGAGCATTGCCATGCTCGTGCCTGACACCCTAGAGCGTTGCAATGCTCTTTCCGGACACCCTGGAGCGTTGCAATGCTCTTGCCGACCTCCCAGGAGCGTTGCAATGCTCTTGCCAGATACCCCGGAGCGTTGCAATGCTCTTCCCGGCCACCCTGGAGAGTTGCAGTAAACTTGCTGGACACCCTGGAGCATTGCAATGCTCTTGCTTGACACGCTAGAGCATTGTAGTCCTCTTGCTGGACACCCTGAAGTGTTGCAGCGCACTTGCCGGACACCGCGGAGCGTTGCAATGCTCTTACTGACAACTGTGGAGCGTTGCAATGCTCTAGCTAGACACCCTGGAGCGATGCAGCGCAAGGGTCTCCAGCTAGAGCATTGCAACGCTCTAGGGTGTCTGGCAAGAGCATTGCAACGCTACAAGGTGTCCGGCAAATGCACTGCAACACTCCGGGGTGTCCGGCAAGAGCAGTGCAGTGCTCATGGGTGTCCGGCAAGAGCATTACAACGATCCAGGGTGTCCGCCAAGAGCACTTCAACGCTCCGGGGTGTCCGGCAAGAGAATTGCAATGCTCCAGGGTGTCCGGAAAGAGCATTGCAATGCTCCAGGGTGTCCGGCAAGAGCATTGCAACGCTCCGGGGTTTTCGGCAAGTGCACTGCAACACTCCAAGGTGCGCGGCTAGAGCTTTGCAACGCTCCAGGGTGTCCGGCAAGAGTTTTGCAACGCTACAGGGTGTCCGGCAAGAGCACTACAATGCTCTGGGATGTCCGGCAAGAGCATTGCAACACTCCTGGGTGGCCGGCAAGAGCACTGCAACACTCCAGGGGTGTCTGGCAAGTGCATTGCAACGCTCTAGGGTGTCCGGCAAGACCATTGCAACGCTCCAGGGTGTTCGGCAAGAGCATTGCAACGCTCCTGTGTGTCCGGCAAGAGCATTGCAATGCTCCAGGGTGTCTGGCAAGAGCATTGCAATGCTCCAGGGTGTCCGGCAAGAGCATTGTAACGCTCCACCCTAGAGCGTTGCAATGCTCTTGCCGGCCACCCTAGAGCGTTGCAAAGCTCTAGCCGGACACCCTGGAACGTTGGGCTGCACTTGCCGGAAACCCAAGAGCGTTGCAATGCTCTTGCTGGACACCCGGGAGCGTTGCAATGCTCTTGCCGGACACCCTGGAGCGTTGCAATTCTCTTGCCAGACACCCCAAAGCGTTGCAGTGCACTTGCCGGACACCCCGGAGCGTTTGAATGCTCTTGCCGGACACCCCGGAGCATTGCAACGCTTTAGGGTGGCCGGCAAGAGCGTTGGAATGCTCTTGCCGGACACCCTGGAACGTTGGACTGCACTTGCCGTGAATTGCATTGCAACGCTCCACGGTGTCCTGTAAGAGCATTGCAACTGTCTCGACGTGGATGACGTGGACGTGGACGTGGAGGAGGTGGACGTGGACGTGGACGTGGACGTGGACCTGGACGTGGACGTGGACGTGGACGTGGAAGTGGACGTGGACGTGGACGTGGACGTGGTCGTGGACGTGGACGTGGACGTGGACGTGGACTTGGACGTGGACGTGGACGTGGACGTGGACCTGGACGTGGACGTGGTCGTGGACGTGGTTGGGTCGTGGACGTGGACGTGGACGTGGTCGGGTCGTGGACGTGGACGTGGACGTGGACGTGGACGTGGACGTGGACGTGGACGTGGACGTGGATGTGGACGTGGACGTGTACGTGGACGTGGTCGTGGTCGTGGTCGTGGACGTGGACGTGGTCGTGGACGTGGACGTGGACGTGGACGTGGTCGTGGACGTGGACCTGGACCTGGACCTGGACCTGGACGTGGACTTGGTCGTGGACGTGGACGTGGACGTGGACGTGGATCATTGCAACGATCCAGGGTGTGCGCCAAGAGCATTGCAACGATCCAGGGTGTCCGACAAGTGCAGTGCAATGCTCTAGGGTGTCCGGCAAGAGAATTGCAACGCTCCGGGGTTTCCGGCAAGTGCACTGCAACGCTCCAGGGTGTCCGGCTAAGGCTTTGCAGCGCTCTAGGGTGGTCGGCAAGAGCATTGCAACGCTTGAGGGTGGTCAGCAAGAGCATTCCAACGCTCTAGAGTGTCCGGCAAGAGCATTGCAACGCTATGGGGTGTTCGACAAGTGCGCTCCAACGCTCCGAGGTGTCCAGCAACACTACAATGCTCTGGGGTGTCCGGCATGTGCATTGCAACGCTCCAAGGTGGCCGGCAAGAGCACGGCAATGCTCCAGGTTGGCCAGCAAGAGCATTGCAACACTCATAGGTGTCCGGCAAGAGCATTGCAACGCTCCTGGGTGGTTGGCAAGACCATTGCAACGCTCCAGGGTGGTCGGCAAGAGCATTGCAGCGCTCCAAGGTGTCCGACAAGAGCATTGCAACGCTCCAGGTGTCAGGCAGGAGCATTGCAACGCTCCGGGGTGTCGTGCAAGAGCATTGCAAATCTCCAGGGTGTCCAGCAAGAGCATTGCAACGCTTCAGGGTGGCGAGCAAGAGCATTGCAATGCTCTTGGGCGGTCGGCAAGAGCATTGCAACACTCCGGGGTGTCCAACAAGTGCACTGCAACGCTCTGGGGGGTCCGGCAAGAGCACTGCAATGCTCCGGGGTGTCTGCCAAGAGCATTGCAACGCTCCACGGTGGCCGGAAAGAGCACTGCAACACTCCGGGGTGTCCGTCAAGTGCACTGCAATGCTCCAGGGTGTCCGGCAAGAGCATTGCAACTCTCCGGGGTGTCCGGAAAGAGCATTGCAACGCTCTTGGGTGGTCGCCAGGAGCATTGCAACGCTCCAGGGTGGTCGGCAAGAGCATTGCAGCGCTCCAGGGTGTCCAGCAAGAGCATTGCAATGCTCCAGGGTGTCCAGCACGAGCATTGTAACGCTCCGGGGTGTCCGGCAAGAGAATTGCAACACTCCAGGGTGACCGGCAAGAGCATTGTAACGCTCCAGGGTGTCCGGCAAGTGCAGTGCAACGCTCCGGGATGTAAGGCAAGAGCATTGCAACGCTCCAGGGTGTCCGGCACAAGCATTGCAACGCTCTGAGGTGTCCGGCAAGTGCACTTCAACGCTCCGGGGAGTTCGGCAAGAGAACTGTAACGCTCTAGGGTGTCCGGCAAGAGCATTGCAACGCTCTAGGGTGCTTGGCAAGAGCATTGAAACGCTCTAGGGTGGTCGGCAAGAGCCTTGCAACGCTGCGGGGTGTCCGTCAAGAGCATTGCAACGCTCCAGGGTGTCGGTAAGAGAAGTGCAACGCTCTGAGGTGTCCGTCAAGAGCATTGCAACGCTCGAGGGTGTTTGGCAAGAGCATTGCAACGCTCTAGGGTGTCCGGCAAGAGCAGTGCAACGCTCCGAGGTATTCGGCAAGTGCACTCCAACGCTCGAGTGGTGTGCGGCAAGAGCATTGCAACGCTCCTAGGTGTCCGACAAGAGCATTGCAACGCTCCGGGGTGTCCGGCAAGTGCACTCCAACGCTCCGGGGTGTTCGGCAAGAGCATTGCAACACTATAGGGTGTCCGATATGAGCATTGCAATGCTCAGGAGTGTCCGGCAAGTTCACTGCAACGCTCAGGGGTGTTCGGCAAGAGCATTGCAACGCTCCGGGGTGTCCGGCAAGTGCACTGCAAAGCTTTGGGGTGTCCGGCAAGAGCACACGAACGCTCGAGGGTGTCCGGCAAGAGAATTGCAACGCTCCAGGTTGTCCGGCAAGAGCATTGCAACGCTCAAGGGTGCCCGGCAAGTGCACTACAACGCTCCGGGGTGTCCAGCTAGAGCATTGCAACGCTCCAGGGTGCCTGGCAAATGCACTGCAACGCTCCTGGGTGTCGGGCAAGAGCACTGCAACGCTCCGGGGTTTCCGGCAAGTGAACTGCAACGCCCCAAGGTGTCTGGCTAGAGCTTTGCAACGCTCTAGGGTGGCCGGCAAAAGCATTGCAACGCTGCAGGGTGGTCGGCAAGAGCATTGCAACGCTCCAGGGTGTCCGGCAAGAGCATTGCAACGCTACGGGGTGTCCGGCAAGTGCACTACAATGCTCTGGGATGTTTGGCAAGAGCATTGCAACGCTCCAGGGTGGCCGGCAAGACCACTTCAACGCTCCAGTGTGTCTGGCAAGTGCACTGCAACGCTCCATGGTGGCCGGCAAGAGCATTGCAACGCTCCGAGGTGTCCGGCAAGAGCATTGCAATGCTCCTGGGTGGTCGGCAAGAGCATTGAAACGCTCCGAGGTGGTCGGCAAGAGCATTGCAGAGCTCCACGGTGTCCAGCAAGAGCATTGAAACGCTCTCGGGTGGTCGGCAAGAGCATTGCAATGCTCCAGGATGGTCGTCAAGAGCATTGTAACGCTCAAGGGTGTCCAGCAAGAGCATTGCAACGCTCAAGGGTGTCCAGCAAGAGCATTGCAACGCTCCGGGGTGTCCGGCATGTGCACTGCAAAGCTTCGGGGTGTCTGGCAAGAGCACACGAACGCTCCGGGGTGTCCGGCAAGAGAATTGCAACGCTCCAGGGTGTCCGGCAAGAGCATTGCAACGCTCAAGGGTGCCCGACAAGTGCACTACAATGCTCCGGGGTGTCCAGCTAGAGCATTGCAACGCTCCAGGGTGTCGGGCAAATGCACTGCAAAGCTCCTGGGTGTCGGGCAAGAGCACTGCAACGCTCCGGGGTTTCCAACAAGTGCACTGCAACGCTCCAAGGTGTCTGGCTAGAGCTTTGCAATGCTCTAGCGTTTCCGGCAAAAGCATTGCAACGCTCTAGGGTGGTCGGCAAGAGCATTGCAACACTCCAGGGTGTCCTGCAAGAGCATTGCAACGCTATGGGTTGTCCGGCAAGTGCACTACAATGCTCTGGGATGTCCGACAAGAGCATTGCAACGCTCGAGGGTGGCGGGCAAGACCACTTCAACGCTCTGGTGTGTCTGGCAAGTGCACTGCAACGCTCCAGGGTGGCCGGCAAGAGCATTGCAACGCTCCGGGGTGTCCGGCAAGAGCATTGCAATGCTATAGGGTGTCAAGCAAGACCATTGCAACGCTCCAGGGTGTCCAGCAAGAGCATAGCCATGCTCCGAGGTGTCTGGCAAGTACATTGCAACGCTCCGGGGTGTCCGGCAAGAGCATTGCAACGCTTATGGGTGTCCAGCAAGAGCATTGCAACGCTTTCGGGTGGTCGGCAAGAGCATTGCAATGCTCTAGGGTGGTCGGCAAGAGCATTGCAGTGCTCCAAGTTGTCCGGCAAGAGCCTTGCAACGCTCCAGGGTATCCGGCAGGAGCATTGCATTGCTCCGGGGTGTCCGGTAAGAGCATTGCAACGCTCCAGGGTGTTCGGCAAGAGCATTGCAATGCTCCAGTGTGTCCGGGAAGAGCATTGCAATGCTCCAGGGTGTCCAGCAAGAGCATTGCAACGCTCCAGGATGTCCGGCAAGAGCATTGCAACGCTCAAGGTTGTCCGGCAAGTGAAGTGCAACGCTACGGAGTGTCTGGCAAGAGCATTGCGACGCTTTAGGGTGTCTGTCAAAAGCATTGCAACGCCCCGAGGTGTCCGACAAGAGCATTGCAACGCTCCTGGGTGTCCGGCAAGAGTATTGCAACGATCCAGGGTGTTTGCCAAGACCATTGCAACACTCCAAGGTGTTCGGCAAGTGCAATGCAACGCTCCAGGGTGTCCAGCAAGAGCATTGCAATGCTACAGGGTGTCTTGCAAGACCATTGCAGCGCTCCATGGTGTCCAGCAAGAGCATTGCAACGCTCAGGGGTGCCTGGCAAGTGCATTGCATCGCTCCGGGGTGTCCGGCATGAGCATTGCAATGCTTCGGGGTGTCCGGCAAGAACATTGCAACGCTCCGGGGTGTCCGTCAAGAGCATTGCAGCGCTCCAGGGTGTCCAACGAGAGTTTTGCAACGCTCCAAGGTGTCCGGCAAGAGTATTGCAATGTTCCGGGGTGTCCGGCAAGAGCATTGCAACGCTCCCGTGTGTTCGGCAAGAGCATTGCAATGCTCAAGGGTGTCCAGGAAGAGCATTGCAATGCTCCAAGTTGTCCAGCATAAGCATTGCAACGCTCCGGGGTGTCCGGCAAGAGCATTGCAACGTTCCAAAGTGTCCGGCAAGAGCATTGTAATGCTTCAGGGTGTCCGGCAAGTGCAGTGCAACGCTCCGGGATGTCCAGCAAAAGCATTGCAACGCTCCGAGGTGTTCGGCAATTCCACTACAACGCTCCGTGGTGTCCGGCAACAGCACTGCAACGCTCCAGGGTGTCCGACAAGAGCATTGCAACAATCTAGGGTGTTTCTCAAGAGCATTGCAATGCTCCAAGGTGTCCGCAAGTGCAATGGAAAGCTCCGCGGTGTCCGACAAGAGCATTGCAATGCTACAGGGTGTCTGGCAAGACCATTGCAACGCTCCAGGGTGTCCAGCAAGAGCATTGCAACGCTCTGGGGTGTCTGGCAAGTGCATTGCAATGCTTCGTGGTGTCCGACAAGAGCCTTCCAACACTCGAGGGTGTCCGGCAAGAACATTGCAACGCTACGGGGTGTCCGGCAAGAGCATTGCGATGCTTTAGGGTGTCTCGCAAAAGCATTGCAACGCCCCGAGGTGTCCGGCAAGAGCACTGCAACGCTCCTGGGTGTCCAACAAGAGCATTACAACGATCCAAGGTGTTTGCCAAGACCATTGCAACACTCCAAGGTGTCCGGCAAGTGCAATGCAACTCTGCGGGGTGTCCGGCAAGAGCATTGCAATGCTACAGGGTGTCTTGCAAGACCATTGCAGCGCTCCATGGTGTCCAGCAAGAGCATTGCAACGCTCCGGGGTGTCCAACAAGAGCATTGCAATGCTTCGGGGTGTCCGCCAAGAACATTGCAACGCTCCGGGGTGTCCAACAAGAGCATTGCAACGCTCTCAGGTGGTCGGCAAGAGCATTGCAACGCTCCAGGGTGGTCGGAAAGAGCATTGCAGCGCTCCAGGGTGTCCGACAAGAGTCTTGCAACGCTCCAGGGTGTCCGGCAAGAGCATTGCAACGCTCCGGGGTGTCCGGCAAGAGCATTGCAACGCTCCCGTGTGTTCGACAAGAGCATTGCAATGCTCCAGGGTGTCCAGGAAGAGCATTGCAATGCTCCAAGGTGTCCAGTATAAGCATTGCAACGCTCTGGGGTGTACCGCAAGAGCATTGCAACGCTCCAGAGTGTCCGGCAAGAGCATTGTAATGCTCCAGGGTGTCCGGCAAGTGCAGTGCAACGCTGCGGGATGTCCAGCAAGAGCATCTCAACGCTCAAAGGTGTCCGACAAAAGCATTGAACGCTCCGAGGTGTCGAGCAAGTCCACTACAATGCTCCGGGGTGTCCGGCAACAGGACTGCAACGCTCCAGGGTGTCCGGCAAGAGCATTGCAATGATCTAGGGTGTTTCCCAAGAGCATTGCAATGCTCCAAGGTGTCCGCAAGTGCAATGGAAAGCTCCGCGGTGTCCGGCAAGAGCATTGCAATGCTACAGGGTGTCTGGCAAGACCATTGCAACACTCCGGGGTGTCCAGCAAGAGCATTGTAACGCTCCAGGGTGTCTGGCAAGTGCATTGCAACGCTTCGTCGTGTCCGACAAGAGCCTTACAACACTCCAGGGTGTCCGGCAAGAACATTGCAACGCTCCGGGGTGTCCGGTAAGAGCATTGCAACGCTCCAGGGTGTCAGACAAGTGCATTGCAACGCTCCAGGGTGGCCGGACACCCCGGAGAGTTGCAATGCTCTTGACGGACACCTTGGAGCATTGAAGTGCTCTTTCCGGACACCCCGGAGCGCTCCAATGCTCTTGATGGCCACCCTGAAGCATTGCAATGCTCTTGCCGGACACCCTAGAGCATTGCAATGCACTTGGCGAACACCCCGGAGCATTGCAATGCTCTTAGCGGACACCCTGGATTGTTGCAATGCTCTTGTCGACCACCCAGGAGCGTTGCAACGCTCTTGCAAGACACCCTGGACCGTTGCAATCGGGGATGGAATCGGGAAGAAGGGGATGGAATCTAAGAGAAGGGGATGGAATCTGAGAGAAGGGGATGGAATGAGGGAGAAGGGGATGGATTTGGGGAGAAGGGGATGGAATATGGGAGAAGGGGATGGAATCTGGGAGAAGGGGATGGAATCTAGGAGAAGGAGATGGAATGAGGGAGAAGAGGATGGAATCTGGGAGAAGGGGATGGAATCTGGGAAAAAGGGATGGAATCTGGGAAAAGGGGACAGAATCTGGGCGAAGGAGATGGAATCTGGGAGAAGGGGGTGGAATCTGGGAGAAGGGGATGGAATCAGGGAGAAGGGTATGGAATCTGGGAGAAGGGGATGGAATCTGGGAGAAGGGGATGGAATATGTGAAAAAGGGATGGAATCTGAGAGAAGTTGATGGAATGAGGGAGAAGGGGATGGAATCTGGGAGAAGGGGATGGAATATGGGAGAAGGGGATGGAATCTGGGAGAAGGGGATGGAATCTGGGAGAAGGGGATGGAATATGGGAGAAGGGGATGGAGTCTGGGAGGGCGGGATGGAATATGGGAGAAGGGGATGGAATCTGGGAGAAGGGGATGGAATCTGGGAGAAGGGGATGGAATCGGGGAGAAGGGGATGGAATCAGGGAGAAGGGGATGGAATCTCGGAGAAGGGGATGGAATCTGGGAGAAGGGGATGGAATCTGTGAAAAAGGGATGGAATCTGAGAGAAGTGGATGGAATGTGAGAGAAGGGGATGGAATGTGGGAGAAGGGGATGAAATATGGGAGAAGGGGATGGAATCTGGGAGAAGGGGATGGAATCTGGGAGAAGGGGATGGAATTTGGGAGAAGGGGATGGAATCTGGGAGAAGGGGATGGAATCTGGGAAAAGTGGATGGAATCTGAAAGAAGGGGATGGAATTTGGGAGAAGGGGATGGAATCTGGGAGAAGGGGATGGAATCTGGAAGAAGGGGGTGGAATCTGGGAGAAGGGGATGGAATGAGGGAGAAGGGGATGGAATCCAGGAGAAGGGGATGGAATCTGGGAGAAGGGGATGGAATCTGTGAAAAAGGGATGGAATCTGAGAGAAGTGGATGGAATGAGAGAGAAGGGGATGGAATGTGGGAGAAGGGGATGGAATATGGGAGAAGGGGATGGAATCTGGGAGAAGGGGATGGAATCTGGGAGAAGGGGATGGAATCTGGGAGAAGGGGATAGAATCTGGGAGAAGGGGATGGAATCTGGGAGAAGTGGATGGAATCTGGAAGAAGGGGATGGAATTTGGGAGAAGGGGATGGAATCTGGGAGAAGGGGATGGAATCTGGAAGAAGGGGGTGGAATCTGGGAGAAGGGGATGGAATGAGGGAGAAGGGGATGGAATCGGGGAGAAGGGGATGGAATCAGGGACAAGGGGATGGAATCTGGGAGAAGGGGATGGAATGAGGGAGAAGGGGATGGATTCGGGGAGAAGGGGATGGAATCTGGGAGAAGGGGATGGAATCTAGTAGAAGGAGATGGAATGAGGGAGAAGAGGATGGAATCTGGGAGAAGGGGATGGAATCTGGGAAAAAAGGATGGAATCTTGGAAAAGGGGACAGAATCTGGGAGAAGGGGATGGAATCTGGGAGAAGGGGATGGAATGAGGGAGAAGGGGATGGAATCTGGGAGAAGGGGATGGAATCCAGGAGAAGGGGATGGAATATGGGAGAAGGGGATGGAATATGGGAGAAGGGGATGGAATCTGGGAGAAGGGGATGGAATCTGGGGTAAGGGGATGGAATATGGGAGAAGGGGATAGAGTCTGGAAGGGCGGGATGGAATCTGGGAGAAGGGGATGGAATCTGGGAGAAGGGGATGGAATCTGGGAGAAGGGGATGGAATCGGGGAGAAGGGGATGGAATCAGGGAGAAGGGGATGGAATCTCGGAGAAGGGGATGGAATCTGGGAGAAGGGGATGGAATCTGTGAAAAAGGGATGGAATCTGAGAGAAGTGGATGGAATGAGAGAGAAGGGGATGGAATGTGGGAGAAGGGGATGGAATATGGGAGAAGGGGATGGAATCTGGGAGAAGGGGATGGAATCTAGGAGAAGGGGATGGAATCTGGGAGAAGGGGATGGAATCAAGGAGAAGGGGATGGAATCTGGGAGAAGTGGATGGAATCTGGAAGAAGGGGATGGAATTTGAGAGAAGCGGATGGAATCTGGGAGAAGGGGATGGAAGCTGGGATAAGGGGATGGAATCTGGGAGAAGGGGATGGAATCTGGGAGAAGGGGATGGAATATGGGAGAAGGGGATGGAATCTGGGAGAAGGGGATGGAATGAGGGAGAAGGGGATGGAATCTGGGAGAAGGGTATGGAATCTGGGAGATGGGGATGGAATCTGGGAGAAGGTGATGGAATCTGGGAAAAGGGGATGGAATCTGGGAGAAGGGGATGGAATCTGGGAGAAGGGGATGGAATATGGGAGAAGGGGATGGAATCTGGGAGAAGGGGATGGAACCTGGGAGAAGGGGATGGAATCGGAGAGAAGGGGATGGAATATGGGAGAAGGGGATGGAATCTGGGAGAAGGGGATGTAATCTGGGAGAAAGGGATGGAATCTGGGAGAAGGGGATGGAATCTGGGAGAAGGGGATGGAATCGGGGAGAAGGGGATGGAATCAGGGAAAAGGGGATGGAATCTGGGAGAAGGGGATGGAATCTGGGAGAAGGGGATGGAATCTGTGAAAAAGGGATGGAATCTGAGAGAAGTGGATGGAATGACGGAGAAGGGGATGGAATCTGGGAGAAGGGGATGGAATATGGGAGAAGGGGATGGAATCTGGGAGAAGGGGATGGAATCTCGGAGAAAGGGATGGAATCTGGGAAAAGGGGACAGAATCTGGGAGAAGGGGATGGAATCTGGGAGAAGGGGATGGAATGAGGGAGAAGGGGATGGAATCTGGGAGAAGGGGATGGAATCTGGGAGAAGGGGATGGAATCTGGGAGAAGGGGATGGAATCTGGGAGAAGGATGGAATCTGGGAGAAGGGGATGGAATCTAGGAGAAGGGGATGGACTATGGGAGAAGGGGATGGAATCTGGGAGAAGGGGATGGAATCTGGGAGAAGGGGATGGAATATGGGAGAAGGGGATGGAATCGGGGAGAAGGGGATGGAATCAGGGAAAAGGGGATGGAATCTGGGAGAAGGGGATGGAATCTGGGAGAAGGGGATGGAATCTGTGAAAAAGGGATAGAATCTGAGAGAAGTGGATGGAATGAGGGAGAAGGGGATGGAATCTGGGAGAAGGGGATGGAATATGGGAGAAGGGGATGGAAACTGGGAGAAGGGGATGGAATCTTGGAGAAGGGGATGGAATCTGGGAGAAGGGGATGGAATGAGGGAGAAGGGGATGGAATCTGGGAGAAGGGGATGGAATCTGGGAGAAGGGGATGGAATCTGGGAGAAGGGGATGGAATCATTCAAGGAGCATTGCAACGCTCTAGGGTTTTCAGCAAGTGCACTACAACGCTCCAGGGTGTCCTGCTAGAGCTTTGCAACGCTCTAGGGTGGCCGGCAAGAGCATTGCAATGCTCCAGGGCGGTCGGAAAGAGCATTACAATGCTCCAGGGTGTCCGGCAAGAGCAATGCAACGCTACGGGGTGTCCGGCAAGTGCACTGCAACGCTCCGGGGTGTACTGCAAGATCATTGCAACGCTCCAGGGTGGCCGGCAAGAGCATTGCAACGCTCCTTGGTGGTCGGCAAGAGCATTGCAACGCTCCGTGGTGTACGGCAAGTGCGCTGCAATGCTTCAGGGTGTCCGGCAAGAGCACTACAATGCTCTGGGGTGTCCGGCAAGAGCATTGCAACGCTTCAGGGTGGCCGGCAATGCAGGGATAGCATCCCAATCCGCTAACCAACTGGGATAAAAGGGCATGTTTCCATAGTGGGTCAGCGCACCCATACCCCCCCAGGACGAGACCTATAGCCCTTAGGGAGACCACTTTGGGCCATTCCAGTGTCCACTTCTAACAGGCAAGAGCACTCCAAGGCTCCAAGGTGTCCGGCAAGGGCACTGCAATGCTCCAGAGTGGCCGGCTAGAGCATTGCAAGGCTTCGGGATGTCCGGCAAGTGCGCTGCAACGCTTTGGGGTGTCCAGCAAGAGCACTACCCTGCTCTAGGGTGTCCGGCAAGAGCATTGTAACGCACAGGGTGGTCGGCAAGAGAAATGCAGCGCCCCGGGGTGTCCGGCAAGAGCACTGCAACGCACCAGGGTGTCTAGCAATAGCATTGCAATGCTCTGGGGTGTCCACCAAGAGCATTGCAATGCTGCAAGGTGTCCGGCAAGAGTACTGCAATGCTCCAGGTGTCCAACAACAGCATTGCAATGCTCCAGTGTGGTCGGCAAGAGAACTGCAACGCTCCAGGGTGGTTGGCAAGAGCATTGCAGCGCTCCAGGGTGTCCGGCAAGAGCATTGCAACCTTCCGGGGTGTCCGAGAAGAGCACTGCAACGCTCTAGGGTGTACGGCAAGAGCATTGCAACGCTCAGGGGTGTTCAGCAAGAGCAGTGCAAGGGTACGGGGTGTCCGGCAAGAGCATTACAATGCTCTAGGGTTTCGGGCAAGAGCATTGCAATGCTTCAGGGTGGCCGGCAAGAGCATTGCAACACTCTAGGGTGTCCGTCAAGAGCACTGTAACGCTCCAGGGTGTCCAGAAAGAGCATTGCAATGCACTAGGATTTCTGGCAAGAGCATTGCAACGCTCTGGGGTGTCCGGCAAGTTTACTGCAACGTTCCAGGGTGGCCGGCAAGAGCATTGTAACGCTCTGAGGTGTCTGGCAAGAGCATTGCAACGCTCCTGGGTGATCGGCAAGAGCATTGCAACGCTCCGGGGTGTCCCGCAAGAGCATTGCAACGCTCCTAGGTGGTCGGCAAGAGCACTGCAATGCTCCAGGGTGTCCGGCAAGAGCATTGCAACGCTCAGGGGTGATCAGCAAGAGCACTTCAAGACTACGGGGTGTCCGGCAAGAGCATTACAATGCTCTAGGGTTTCCGGCAAGAGCATTGCAATGCTTCTGGGTGGCCGGCAAGAGCATTGCAAAACTCTGGAGAATCCGTCAAGAGCACTGTAACGCTCCAGGTGTCCGGAAAGAGCATTGCAATGCACTGGGGTGTCCGGCAAGAGCATTGCAACGCTCTGGGGTGTCCGGCAAGAGCATTCCAACGCTCTTGAGTGGTCGGCAAGAGCATTGCAATGCTCCAGGGTGGTCGGCAAGAGCATTGTAGCGCTCCGGGGTGTTTGGCAAGAGCATTGCAACGCTACCGGGTGTCCGGCAAGAGCATTGCAACGCTCCTGGGTGGTCGGCAAGAGCATTGCAACGCTCCAGGGTGGTCGGCAAGAGCATTGCAGCGCTCCAGGGTGTCCGGCAAGAGCATTGCAACGCTTCAGGGTGTCACGCAGGAGTATTGCAACGCTCCGGGGTGTCATGCAAGAGCATTGCAACACTCCAGAGTGTCCGTCAAGAGCATTGCAATGCTCTTGGGTGGTCGGCAAGAGCATTGCAACACTCCGGGATGTCCAACAAGTGCACTGCAATGCTCAGGGGGGTCCAGCAATAGCACTGCAATGCTCTGGGGTGTCTGCCAAGAGCATTGCAACACTCCAGGGTGGCCGGAAACAGCACTCCAACGCTCCGGGGTGTCCGGCAAGTGCACTGCAATGCTCCAGGGTGTCCGGCAAGAGCATTGCAACGCTCCAGGGTGTTCGGAAAGAGCATTGCAACGCTCTCGGGTGGTCGGCAAGAGCATTGCAACGCTCCAGGGTGTCCGGCAAGAGCCTTGCAACGCTCCAGGGTGTCCGGCAGGAGCATTGGAATGCTCCAGGGTGTCCGGCAAGAGCATTGCAACACTCCAGGGTGTTTGACAAGAGCATTGCAACGCTCCAGTGTGTCCGACAAGAGCATTGCAATGCTCCAGGGTGTCCAGCAAGAGCATTGCAACGCTCCGGCGTGTCCGGCAAGAGCATTGCAACGCTCCACGGTGTCCGGCAAGAGCATTGTAACGCTTCAGGGTGTCCGGCAAGTGCAGTGCAACGCTCCAGGATGTCCGGCAAGAGCATTGCAACGCTCCAGGGTGTCCAGCAAAAGCATTGCAACGCTCCGAGGTGTTCCGCCAGTGCACTGCAACGCTCCGGGGTGTCCGGCAAGAGCACTGCAACACTCCAAGGTGTCCGGCAAGAGCATTGCAACGAACCAGGGTGTTTGCCAAGAGCAATGCAACGCTCCAAGGTGTCCAGCAAGTGCACAGCAACGCTACGGGGTGTCCGGCAAGAGCATTGCAATGCTCAGGGGTGTCTGCCAAGAGCATTGCAACGCTCCGGGGTGTCGTCAAAGGCATTGCAACGCTCTGGGGTGTCGGGCAAGAGCATTGCAACGCTCCAGCGTGTCCGGGAAAAGCATTGCAATGCTCCAGGGTGTCCAGCAAGCGCACTGCAACGCTCTGGGGTGTCCGGCAAGTGCATTGCAAAGCTCCAATGTGTCCAGCAAGAGCATTGCAACGCTCCAGGGTGTTCGGCAAGAGCATTGCAACGCTACGAGGTGTCGGGCAAGTGCGCTGCAACGCTCCAGGGTGTCTAGCAAGAGCATTCCAACGCTCCACGGTGGTCAGCAAGAGCATTGCAACGCTCCGCGGTGTCGGGCAAATGCACTGCAACACTTCGGGGTGTCCAGCAAGATGACTACAATGCTCTAGGGTGTCAAGCAAGAGCATTGGAACGCTCGAGGGTGGCCGCCAAGAGCACTGCAACGCTCTAGGGTGTCCAGCAAGTTTACTGCAACGCTCCAGGGTGGCCGGCAAGAGCATTGCAACGCTCTGATTTGTCCGGCAAGAGCATTGCAACGCTCCTGGGTGATCGGCAAGAGCATTGCAACGCTTTGGGGTGTCCAGCAAGAGCATTGCAATGCTCCAGGGTGTCAGGTAGGAGCATCGCAACGCTCCGGGGTGTCTTGCAAGGGCATTGCAATGCTCCAGGGTGTCCTGCAAGAGCGTTGCAATGCTTCGGGGTGGCCGGTGAGAGCATTGCAACGCTCCACAGTGGTCGACAAGAGCATTGCAACACTCCGGGGTGTCCACCAAGTGCACAACAACGCTCCAGGGTGGGCGGCAAGAGCACCGCAACGCTCCGGGGTGTCCGGCAAGTGCATTGCAATGCTCCAGGGTGTCTGGCAAGAGCATTGCAACGCTCCGGGGTGTCCGGCAATAGCATTGCAACGCTCCCGGGTGGTCGGCAAGAGCATTGCAACGCTCCAGGATGGTCAGCAAGAGCATTGCAGCGCTCCAGGGTGTCCGGCAAGAGCCTTGCAATGCTCCAGGGTGTCCGGCAGGAGCATTGCAATGCTCCGGGGTGTCCGGCAAGAGCATTGCAACGCTCCAGGGTGTCCGGCAAGAGCATTGCAACGCTCCAGGGTGTCTGGCAAGAGCATTGCATCGCTCCAGGGTTTTCGGCAAGTGCACTGTAACGCTCCAGGGTGTCCTGCTAGAGATTTGCAACGCTCTAGGGTGGCCGGCAAGAGCATTGCAACGCTCTAGGGTGGTCGGCAAGAGCATTACAACGCTCCAGGGTGTTCGGCAAGAGCATTGCAACGCTACGGGGTGTCCGGCAAGTGCACTGCAACGCTCCGGAGTGTACTGCAAGATCATTGCAACGCTCCTGGGTGGCCGGCAAGAGCATTGCAACGCTCCTTGGTGGTCGGCAAGAGCATTGCAACGCTCCGTGGTGTCCGGCAAGTGCGCTGCAATGCTTCAGGGTGTCCGGCAAGAGCACTATAATGCTCTGGGGTGTGCGGCAAGAGCATTGCAACGCTTCACGGTGGCCGGCAATGCAGGGATAGCATCCCAATCCGCTTACCAACTGGGATAAAAGGGCATGTTTCCATAGTGGATCAGCGCACCCATACCCCCCCAGGACGAGACCTATAGCCCTTAGGGAGACCACTTTGGGCCATTCCAGTGTCCACTTCTAACAAGCAAGAGCACTGCAACGCTCCAGGGTGTCCGGCAAGTGCACTGCAACGCTCCAGAGTGGCCGGCAAGAGCATTGCAAGGCTTCGGTATGTCCGGCAAGTGCGCTGCAACGCTGTTGGGTGTCCAGCAAGAGCACTACCCTGCTCTAGGGTGTCCGGCAAGAGCATTGTAACGCACAGGGTGGTCGGCAAGAGCATTGCAGCGCGCCGGGGTGTCTGGCAAGAGCCTTGCAACGCACCAGGGTGTCTAGCAATAGCATTGCAACGCTCTGGGGTGTCCACCAAGAGCATTGCAATGCTGCAAGGTGTCCGGCAAGAGTACTGCAACGCTCCAGGTGTCCAGCAAGAGCATTGCAATGCTCCAGGGTGGTCGGTAATAGAACTGCAACGCTCCAGGGTGGTTGGCAAGAGCATTGCAGCGCTTCAGGGTGTCCGGCAAGAGCATTGCAACCCTCCGGGGTGTCCGAGAAGAGCACTGCAACGCTCCAGGGTGTCTGGCAAGAGCATTGCAATGCTCAGGGGTGTTCAACAAGAGCACTGCAAGGCTACGGGGTGTCCGGCAAGAGCATTACAATGCTCTAGGGTTTCCGGCAAGAGCATTGCAATGCTTCAGGGTGGCCGGCAAGAGCATTGCAACACTCTGGGGTGTCCGTCAAGAGCACTGTAACGCTCCAGGGTGTCCGGAAAGAGCATTGCAATGCACTGGGATTTCTGGCAAGAGCATTGCAACGCTCTGGGGTGTCCGGCAAGTTTACTGCAACGTTCCAGGGTGGCCGGCAAGAGCATTGTAACACTCTGAGGTGTTCGGCAAGAGCATTGCAACGCTCCTGGGTGATCGGCAAGAGAATTGCAACGCTCCGGGGTGTCCCGCAAGAGCATTGCAACGCTCCTAGGTGGTCGGCAAGAGCACTGCAACGCTCCAAGGTGTCCGGCAAGAGCATTGCAACGCTCAGGGGTGTTCAGCAAGAGCACTTCAAGACTACGGGGTGTCCTACAAGAGCATTACAATGCTCTAGGGTTTGCGGCAAGAGCATTGCAATGCTTCTGGGTGGCCGGCAAGAGCATTGCAAAACTCTGGAGAATCCGTCAAGAGCACTGTAACGCTCCTGGGTGTCCGGCAAGAGCATTGCAATGCTCTGGGGTGTCTGGCAAGAGCATTGCAATGCTCTGGGGTGTCCGGCAAGAGCATTCCAACGCTCCCTAGTGGTCGGCAAGAGCATTGCAATGCTCCAGGGTGGTCGGCAAGAGCATTGTAGCGCTCCGGGGTGTTTGGCAAGAGCATTGCAACACTATCGGGTGTCCGGCAAGAGCATTGCAACGCTCCTGGGTGGTCGGCAAGAGCATTGCAACGCTCCAGGGTGGTCGGCAAGAGCATTGCAGCTCTCCAGGGTGTCCGGCAAGAGCATTGCAACGCTTCAGGGTGTCACGCAAGAGTATTGCAACGCTCCGGGGTGTCGTGCAAGAGCATTGCAACACTCCAGAGTGTCCGTCAAGAGCATTGCAACGCTGTTGGGTGGTCGGCAAGAGCATTGCAACACTCCGGGGTGTCCAACAAGTGCACTGCAATGCTCCGGGGGGTCCGGCAATAGCACTGCAATGCTCTGGGGTGTCTGCCAAGAGCATTGCAACACTCCAGGGTGGCCGGAAACAGCACTCCAACGCTCCAGGGTGTCCGGCAAGTGCACTGCAATGCTCCAGGGTGTCCGGCAAGAGCATTGCAACGCTCCAGGGTGTCCGGAAAGAGCATTGAAACACTCTCGGGTGGTCGGCAAGAGCATTGCAACGCTCCAGGGTGTCCGGCAGGAGCATTGGAATGCTCCAGGGTGTCCGGCAAGAGCATTGCAACACTCCAGGGTGTTTGACAAGAGCATTGCAACGCTCGAGTGTGTCCGACAAGACCATTGCAATGCTCCAGGGTGTCCAGCAAGAGCATTGCAACGCTCCGGGGTGTCCGGCAAGAGCATTGCAACGCTTCACAGTGTCCGGCAAGAGCATTGTAACGCTTCAGGGTGTCCGGCAAGTGCAGTGCAACGCTCCAGGATGTCCCGCAAGAGCATTGCAACGCTCCAGGGTGTCCTGCAAAAGCATTGCAACGCTCCGAGGTGTTCCACAAGTGCAGTGCAACGCTCCGGGGTGTCCGGCAAGAGCACTGCAACACTGAAAGGTGTCCGGCAAGAGCATTGCAACGAACCAGGGTGTTTGCCAAGATTATTGCAACGCTCCAAGGTGTCTGGCAAGTGCAATGCAACGCTCCGGGGTGTCCGGCAAGAGCATTGCAATGCTACAAAGTGTCTGGCATGACCATTGCAATGCTCCAAGGTGTCGAGCAAGAACACTGCAATGCTCCGGGGTGTCAAGCAAGTGCATTGCAACGCTCCGGGGTGTCCAGCAAGAGCCTTACAACACTTCAGGGTGTCCGGCAAGAACATTGCAACGCTCTGGGGTGTCCGGCAAGAGCATTGCAACG